AGTATTAACACGTTGTTTGGCAAGGCTTATTTTCAGAGGGCTAAGTACGAGTTTCTTTTTCGTGTAAAGTAATCGAAACGAGACGGCGTTCTATGAATCTTGAAAGACATTTTTAAAAAACTGATTATTTCCTTGTCTGTAAGCAAAATACCTTTTATGTAGCTCTTTAGCTCTTGATAATACTTTCTGTAAAGGATAACCAGCTACAAATAGTTGTCTATATGCCAAGCTACATGTATAAATGCGATAGTCAATTGTTTACTGCTCACTCTCACGCCCAAAACCACAGAAGCAATATAAACAAGCTTCACTACAGAGATAGAGTGCCCTGAGAATTCCACTCACCGAACAGCCACATTCCTCGTGATTTAAATGTAAACAGTTAAACTATGAACCAAGTATATGAACTACTATCTTCTCTTATAATAAACGCGTGAGTCTAAACTGCACAATGAAACAACATTCTTATTCCTTGAATCATTCGCTTTAAGTAAACAAATCTCTTTGTAAGGAGAAACGGTTAAATGTCTAATTGCGTCATATCTCCATGTTAAATGCATGTCGATTCGGTTTACGCGTGTAAAATGCGTAATAGTAATACATAAGTGGCTTATCTCCAACTTAAGTAACGTAGCATGTTAAATAACTTAAAATCTTTAACAGAATTGAGAAGAATACATTTTACAGTGGCATTAGGTGCAGTAATGTGCACCTCCCCCCTGTGCCTACCCCTTCGGGGATAAAAGGCGTGATGTTATGTATATAGAACTGAGAAGAAGTGACTGTCTTAAATGCTAATTTGTTAAATATTTCATTGGGTTAGATTTTTGGGTTTTCTTTACCTTCTTATCTATTAACTCGTGCCATATTTTCAGATTGTTTTATTGCGAAATTAGCGATGCTCATTTTTTTCAAAATTAAATCTGTGTGTTTTACTGACGGCAAATTGTTTTGCCACGGCAAATTGTTCTGCCACAGCAAATCGTTTTGCCACAGCAAATCGTTCTGCCACTAAAATATAGTAAAACTTCACTAAAATAAAGTAACAGCTACAGCATAGCTTCATACATTTCCTTTGTCAAACAACAATAAACAATATTGATACATTAACTATCTAAAGATGGTTGCCAACAAGCCAGTGTATTTAACTTGCAAGTCAAATCAATCGTATCTCATTTCCTGGTCATTAAGTGAGCCAAACTTGTCTCAACAGCCGTCCAATCAGGGAGCATAACGGCCACATAGTAACCAATGTCTTCGACCCTCCAATACTGGTTGATTGGACTTGATTGGCTAAGGGACAATGAATTAGGGAGAATGTCGCTACTTAAGAATAAGGGACTAGGTATGTTCGTTGAGATACACAATATGGCAGTAACATAAACTAACATCACGCCTTTTATCCCCGAAGGGGTAGGTAGAGGTGCACATTATGCCACTGTACAATGTAGCACCCACTGTTCACTATTTATGTTATGAGTCCCATGTAATAGGGGGTGAGCCTATTGCCATATACCAGGCACAATTCCAGACTCCATGCTACTACTCAGATTTTTTTAAAACCCAGTAATACTTTGCCCGACCCGGGAATCAAACCCTAGACACCTTGCCCAGCAGTCGCACTCGCGACCACTCGGCCAACTAGGCAGTCAGGCAGGCACACCAAATCATCTTGATGTGCAAAAAAAACTTTGTCTTTTAAGTACCTACTTATATAAATAAATAAGTTAAGTTACAAAGCAAAAAAGTAGTATATACTTAACAAAATAGTATATCTTGTAAAGTTTCAAGAATCGATCTACCGTTTAGTCTGGGTTACTAGCCACAAAACACAGGCCAGTCTAAACAAATGTCTACAATCTATCCTAAATTCCAGACTAAACATAATCTAACTGACGTATCTGCGTCTTCCCCCAAATGTGAGATAAAAAATGACCTACAAATGTAACCTTTAGACCTCCAGACAAACGAGGTTCACTTAGATATAGACGCAAAAACCAGCGACTGTTGATCTTATTCTACAAATAAGGGGAACGAACTTTGACTCATCTGTTCTGCCCTGATTTGGCGAAATGAATTCTGTGTTCACTAAACTAAGATTTAGTTCTCTGTGTCACTATGGCTTGGTAATAAGAAAAGATGTGTGCTATAAAGCAAAATTGTTCCTAGGAATTAGAGCTGTTTTTCAAGAAGGAAAACGTGTATTAGTGACTCCAGTTTGAATTCTTACTTATATCCTTATCCTTACTTATATTATAAATCGGAAAGTGAGTTTGTTTGTTTGTTTGTTTGTTCGACTTTAACGCCGTAACTACTAAACCGAATGCTTTGAATTTTTGCAGATGTATAGTTAGAAGTCCGGATTAAATAATAGGGTACTTTTTATCCCAGAAAAATTTGATATTCCTGAGGGAAAACAAAAGTATTAGTATAGATGGCGCTGTGTGTATTGCTATATGTCACATTGGCTTTTTATCCTTTTGTGACGCGAGCGAAGCCGCGGGTAAAAGCTAGTAAAACATAAACAATAACTCCAACGTCACAATAACAGCTCATTAAACTGTTTTGTATGAGTAAAGCGAACGAACACCTATGACTCAACGAAGTCTCACATCTGAGAACAAACGAATGCTAAGAAACTGGGACAAGTGCAAAGTTATTTTTGCGCTTGCTTCCGAAAAATTCCGAGTATTTCCGCACATAAATGCCAATCCATGATCGGATCTTCTCAGAAAGATCACTTTGTTCTCGAACTGAAGATCGATGTGAGATAAACATGACATTCTTCAGATTCACATAAAGCCTTTTATTCCCTGAACGGATAAGCAAAGGTGAATTCTAAATGTCAACCCTCTCAATCAATTTTGTTCCTAAAAGAAAAATCCAATTTTATTTAGTGCGTCCCAAACTTAGGTGGGTAATTGCGTATACGACCTATCATCGAGACAGTGAAGTCACTATAAGTACCTAAAAATACGAAGTAACCTTTTTTAAGAGAAGAAAATTATCCAATGACTTCTCCCGCCTCGGGTGAAGCGAGTGTCAGACTCTTACTAACTAAAAACCACGTCGTTCCTACACTCGAGCCGGAGCCCCGATAACTTGCTAGGTCATTCGCAGCTCCGAGGTATTACAAAGTAACACGGGGTAATGAACAATCATGTTGAAATTAATAGATAAAGATAATAACACTACCATTGTCAATTTTTCACAACATTACCTTAAGTTTCCGTGGTGCTTGGCGACTGGGCTTCACCCAGTTGTACAGTCTCTTCTTTGTGCCTTTAGGCTTAATTCATTCTGTCTCCTGCAGTAATTCACCGAGGGAAGTGGAAACTATAGTTTTTTCTTCTCCTCTTATAATATCTTCTGATTCATTTCGTTGCGGGAACCAAGACAGTTACTCATGTCCCTGGGACGCGCCGGACTTCAGTGTTCCGGTGTTTTCATGGTTGTATCTACTGTAGATCCTGGCTTACAGGAGTTGCAGCGGTTTTGGGAGGTTGTGGAGGGCTTGTCCCATAAAAAAAAAAACATTACCTAAGTAATACGTATACATAAATGTAAGTCGCAGTGTGTAGTGACGTATCAATCATTTGTTGTCGTTTTCTAGATTAGAATCTCTGTTGAGCGCCAAAAAATGTACCGACATATTGATGCAGTGCGTGATGACGATTGAACGTAAACAAAATAATTGCCAGCCACGCTTAATTTTATTATGCAATAAAATGAAGTCTGGATTACTTTTAGAATCCTAGAGAGAAGAAAATAACTCAATATCGTAAAAAATTCGCTTCAGACAAATAGTATTAGTATATTATCCACCGATAGCAATAAGAGTTTGATTTGGATCTGATTATCGGTTGAGGAAAAATAGTATACTTTCTTATCTCTAAGAAACAAAGAAACGTTAGGCCTTTTGAGAAGCCTTGAGTCACGTCAACGTGATCTCATAGTTCTTATACACGGGGTACCTTATCACAAGATCTCGTAAAGTGACAAAGATCGATATGACGCTTCCTCATGCGATCCTCGTAACTGTCATCTCGTTGAAATTGTTTGCACACAATGCGTAACGCCCAAAATTAGACAATGACTGTTTTATCAAACTGATCCCACCATATAATACTTTAGTTAGTGTTTCCTGGATGTAGACAGCAAATAAAAGCAACTAGTGCGATAGATAAATTTTAAAAATATCATCTTCTACGTACTTCTAAATGTATTCTAATAGGTTTTCTAGGAAAGTTAAAAGCGTCGATTCGATACGCTCAATATGAAACATGTTTAAAGAATTGCCTTGATGCATCGATCGTAAACCATGATCTTGAAACAGACGCCAAATGTTATGTATTTGTATACCAGCATCATGTACACACGCCTTGTCTTTATTAGATCACGGTCTCATCATTGAACTTGGAACCGTTATGGACTGTTCCTAACAATAGTTTTCCTTGTTCATTCCAGAGCGTGAAAAACCATCATCAGTGTTGTTAGAGAAGCAGCGTGAGGCGCTCGTCAAGAGCGTCGAGGTCGCTACGGATCGAGGCCGGGATGAAGGCCTGTATGAGCGGGGGGCGGAGGCGGAGCCGGCTGGACCCGGCGTGGGTCGGTGGGGCGCCGAATGGCCGAGTTGACTCAGCTCGGAAGCGGCGCCCGAGCCCGACGCCGCAGTGTCGGCGGCTGGGCCGGAGTGCCGGACGGAAGACGTGACCAGGCCGGGCCCCGACCTGACCAGACCGCCGCTGCCGCGAGCGCGCTGGGGCCCGGCTAGGCGCCCGCTCGAGTTGTCCTTGGCAAGACACGAGGAGCTGGCAACGCGCGCTGAGGCCGCACTGCGCCATCTGCTCGTCACCGACAACTATGACTCCGTCAATAACTTCATCTCACTGCATGAGGCTTTCGAGCGCAGTGGTGATGCGCTCTACCAGGTGTACGAGCAGTACACGCCACCAATCCGTGCTCGCAAGCACACCTGTGTAGGGCTGGGCTTCGAACTCATGCGACGCTGGCGGAAGTTGGAGCGGGACTTCAGTGGCGCTACCCGCGCCACAGCTCTATTGTCGTGCGAGGAAGCCGTGGTAGACGTGCGCGAGTACGTGACGTGCGGCGACGGGCCCGCAGCTGTGCTGGCTGCTGAGAAGGAGCACGTCATGGTGGGCATACAGATCCGCGTAGACGGCCGACTCGGCGTCATGCTTGCTGATCCCGGCTACCACGTGCCCAGAATCGTCACCGTCATGCAGGATCGAAACTACCCACACACTGGTAAGTTTTAAAGCTAAAATAAGTTCTCTATAATTCATTAACAAAGTAGTCGACATTGCCATTACAAATTATAAGCAAACCTTCTCCCTCGAGCTCCTGCTTAAGTAGTCGCCCCTCGTACAGGTTGGTTCGTGCAGTCGGACGAGCAACACTGCCGCAAGGAGTACAACTACACGTTCAGCGTGCTGAACCCAGGCTACATCGAGTGGCACGAGCGGGAGACGCGCGGGGAGACTGTGAAGTCTCAGACCTCGCTCGTGTACGCCGGCAGACCGTACCTGGACGGTATCAACGTCACCGAGAGAAGAAACCTCGTCTACAACTTTAGGTGAAGAATTAATACAGTTTTCTACATTTTTGGCAACATTCCGATTCCTACCTTAGTTTCATCAGCTGAGATTCTTTGTTGAAATAATTTGACGTTAAGTAAATAGCGTGTTCGGCCTCAATCAGCAGACCTCAATCATTTCCTATTACACCGAAGATTTCTAGGCCAGACATCAGACCATATTAGCAAGTCTAGATATAATTAGTTTGCCTTATCAGTCACATCAATCATCATAGTTTAAGATCATTGACTTATCTGGCGCACGTCAGTCTCGTAACGACTCGTGCAGACAATAGCTTTTATTGGCTGCAATCCAATTATGCAATAGCTAAAGTGGGGCTATTAAATGCAAGATCTTTGTTCTTGGATTCGTTTTTCGGGGATACAAAACCATGAACACACACAAGTAATAAACAACAATAGCCTTTGATGTGATTTGATCAGGAAGTGTGTCTTGTCTCTTTTGTCAGAAGAAATTATTTAAAGGCTCATAACCAGAATTAACGTATCAATTTTTTTGCAGGAGTCTTCTCTCCCGCGACCAGAAGGGCCACTTGATAGCCGGCCTCTACTTCCCAGTGGGTGCGACCATCAAAGACGCGCAGTTCACCCTCTTCCTTAACAACGGGCCTCAAAAGCGGAAGACTAAGTACAAATTCAGCACTTTTGCTGACCCTGATGACGTAAGTATCTTTTTCTATTTTCAAATATACGGTATATGAGGACAACTCAATGCACTGTTAAATACATGCCCTAAGCTGCATGACTATATATATAGACTCTAAACCTCTGACAAAGGATAGACGATATCTATAAAAACCGTAGCATTTCATTTCAATTAAACTTCATCCTGAGACATTGCCAAACATGCCTTACGCAGTCGTGTCATCTTAAAACTGCAACCAAATCTATTGAAATCGGATCTGAAACAAGCGCTGACCGACCATGAAGGTTACATGGCTATTCTAAATAATGCCTTCCGGTCGCCAGTTTTGCGTTACTCGAGCTGGGAACCGCCCGAGGGACATTGTAGACTGTAGAAACAATGGGAACTGCCCGACTTGTACTGTAAACATCATACACATTATATTTAACCTTTGCCTACATTGAGAAGTAATACGAGTGGTGTATTTGCGTAAAATAATGAGAATGTTATGAAAATTGGCCGTTACATAACATAACATCACGACTTTTATCCCCGAAGGGATTGGCAGAGATGCACATTACGGTACTTAATGCCAACGAGGCAGTCAAAGGCCGTTTACAATATTCAAAGTCAAAGTCAAAGTTTCTTTTAGTTAAAGGCCATATGTTGACTTTCTTGTGGCAATATAATTGTTGCCTCTTTAGTTTTCTACTGGGAAACCAGGTATATGTAGGTATGTATAGAAGGTACTACAAAATTAATTAAAACTATGGATTTTAAGTAGGTATATATCACGAGACATAAATTATCCTATAAATAATAATCCCAAACGATGACATTTATAATTTCATAAGTTCCCGTATGCCTTTACTTCTAGTCATCAAGTAGGTAGGTAGGTAGATCTTCAAGTCTAATTATTGATGTTTTCCGTGAGCAACTGTGCCTTTCCCGCAATGAGCTGTATAATCATGCGTCATTACGTGGACTTATGAAGTCAGACGTATAATTTCTTGTACTTTCTATATCTATAATTTGTCTCCAATTTGAAATGACGGAGTTTCGTAATGATAGGTCGCAACTGGATAATGAATACCTACTTGTATAACTGGCCCTATTCTGTTATGTATGAGTTATGATAATAAATGGATCCGCATTAAAATATTTGCAATATTTATTATCTACTTCTCCCAAAAGCTCACTTCTGGAAAGTTTTACAAACAGATCAACGTTATTATAAAGCTATAACATCTATTTCAAGCTTTGTTAATAGCCCTTCTTTGCCCACAGATTCCAGAAGAGATATTGGAAGAGATCCAGCTCTGTAATAACAAGATGAATTACAAGGACGGCGAGCTATTGTCCATCGTTTGCAAGCTCTCTCGAGTAATGGCTGACCAAGCCTTCATCGACCAGATGCTGGAGATCAACGAGGACATCTGTCGCATGTGTCTCTGACAACAAAATGGCGTCCAGAACAAAATGGCGGACGCCAGTAATGGAGGCAACAAAGCCTAATAATGCAATGTATTGTTTAAAACAATCTTAACTTCGTATAATTTTATCCAATTAATTTGTATTGTATTTACATATTTTTAATTTTTGGATTATATTTTATTGGGTTATAGGTGATTTTTTACTTTTACGTAGTTATTAAGATTACGTTAAAATTAATATTGTTTAATTTGGAATTGGGTTATTGGATTTTTTAATTGTTTAATTGCTTAACTTCTTAATAAACTTTTATTATTTGAAATGCGAATGACTCGTTTCTTTTTTCATAACCTTGAAACCCTTAGATTTTAGTCTAATTTCGTGGTGCTTGGCAACTGGACTGGGCTTCACCCAGTTGTACAATCTTCTTTCTGTGCCTTTAGGCTTAATTCACTCTGTCTGCAGTAATTCACCGAGGGAAGTGGAAACTATCGTTTTTTTCTTCTTATAATATCTTCTGATTCACTTCGTTGCGGGAACCAAGACAGTTATTTATGTCCCTGGGACGCGCCGGACTTCAGTGTTCCGGTGTTTTCATGGTTGTAACCACTGTAGATCCTGGCTTACAGTAGTTGCAGCGGTTTTGGGAGGATGCGGCGGGCTTGCTCAAAAAAAAACCTTGTAACCCATCTTGATACCGCTTTTTACAAAGCAGTGAAGTGAGTGGAGTGAAGGACAATACAATACAATATAAAATAAAAACTCTTCAATTAAGAGAAGTCACTACTTTATTATCTCACACAAGTAATAAATTGGTTCTTTACAACTAACATCAATAATATGTCTAAAAATATTTCATTAGGTCTAAATTAACAAGGTGACAAAATAAAACAAAATAAATAAATAAAATAATTAATTTATTTGAAGGAATGAGCGATTTGTAGCGGTCCAGCACCGTTGTAATTTTGTGCAGAACAGTTATTACGTCAATCAAACATAATGACGGGATGGAGGTAAACGTAATACCAGGGGCCATTCAGACCTGTCATTAACACTACACGGGAACCTTCAAACTGGAAATTAACCCTTCTACCTTTCGCACGACGAGGTAATACAAAATATACTCTACGGTATCACAGTCAAAGTTTACTCTGTATTAACAAAACGCCAGTTGTGCCATTTTAGCTGCAAACAGTAACTCGTCTCAATGGCCGATGGACCTTAGTCTAAAAATCCTTATTTATTACTTTGTGAACTAATATCCGCCTAGTGGGTATACAGACAGACATCTAACATCTATGGAAACTTGATATTGTAATGAAATTACTATTTTATTGAAATCGACGCATAAATTAATGAATGACGAACAAAAATTTATCAGTCGACCTCTAAAAGGATGAACTTTGAACAATTTATCGAAAAAACTTATAAGTACGACACTTAGATGACTAATGAGTTTTTATAACTAATCATAATCTTATTTAAGATATTAGAACTTAAGATTTCGAATGCTATTCTAAACTCAAGATTCGGATATGTAAAATTTGAAATGAATAACTACTTTTCCACACGAAATTCCGAAAATTCAACGTATATTTCAGATATACATAACATGTTTAAGAATTTTGTTTTGTTCTACGAAATATTTGTTGAAGAAAATTTTACAGGTATATTATAACATTACATCTACCTAATATTAAATAAATCTGTGGCGTAGTTCATAAATATCAGATGTTCCATATTGCAACAGATAATAAAAATTGGGGCAAATGTAACCGCCGCCACAGATTATAGAACACGGTAATTTTATCAGACTATCTTCTAACACAGAGTACGATTGTCAGGTGGGAGAATACAGGTAGATAAGTTATGGAATCTTGGACAAGCACACCTTACCACGACACTTTAATTTATATAACTATTTATCCAGAGAATTTTGAACTGTATTGATTTTTAATAAGAAATGGAAACAATAGCAGCCATCTTTAATAATTTGCCGCCATTAATAGAAGTCCGCCATTTTGTCGTGGTCTCGCGTGCAGAGTCCAATCAAAGGAGGTTTTGCGCCGAGTGAGGCAATGACATTTAAATATTATTATGTCCTATTTTATTATATTTCACTAAGTCTACGTCCGAAGTCATTAGACAATATTGATCACGATACAAGGCGATATCACGAGTCGTTTTATACCGGCAGCGGCCTGCCAACAAATAAAATGAACAGAGAAAGAGATCAAGAGAGTTTAACTAAAAAGAGGATTTTATATTTTCAGACCTCGAAAACGCCGCGTAAATAAATTTTCAAACATATTTTGGCAATAAACACGCGGTAAACCTGTTCACTTTTATTTGTTCGCATGCTACAGGTCACACTGTTACAAATAATGAAAACTGAATACAATTTGTAATCGATGAAAACCGGAAAGTCCAAAAATAAAATTCCAGAGTTTCTAATTTATTTCATAATCAAAAATCAAACTCAAAATCATTAAAACTTAATAAAAATACGTTACTTAAGGAACGAACTTCGTCATTGAGTGCAAAATGTAAAATGTCCAAAGGACACTCGTAATCAGACAATCAAAAACACAAGTCAATTTAGAAAATTCATTCTCGCTAGTTGGCGCCACTGAGATGAAAGTCCTTTTAGTCTCTCCTAGGTTAATTTACAGGTTTACAATACATTTGTAACAGAATCGATTGCTTAAAAGACTAGCGCCTCTAAGACTAAACACAAACCAAAAAAGGATACTCCTTTTTGTTTATCAAATCCTAGATTGTTTCAAACATGCACATGGCAATTGATATTAAAACATGTTTAAGTAGGAGAAATCCAATAGAATGAGAACAGCGCTGGCTGTTGGATAGTTAAATTAAAATACATAAATAGTAGTGATGTGTAACCGTAGGCTATGCCGCTGTCGCGCCGCGGGTGGTCGCGGGTCCTTCGCGGGTCTTTTGCGGGGCTTGCGGGGCTTGTGGGTCTAGTTGTCGGCGGGCGCGGGGCGGTGTGCGTGCGCCTTGTGTTGCTTGTGTCGGTGATGGCGCTGCGGGTGGGACCCGCCGTATACCTCGCGCACGCTTGGGCTGTAAACGTAATATTTCTCTTTAGTATGACATTCGTCGTTTTGGGATGATAAGTGTTGTGTTAAGTCTGTCATTTATTTTTCGCTTTTGTTGCTTTTTGTTGATTTTGTGACTATGGATTTTAAAGTATTCTGGTATAAAATTAAATACCAGTACTTTTATTGAGAGTTAACCTCTTATCTGCCGGTAATGAGAGAGGTGTGCCGACCACAGGTTTATCAATATTAAAAAAAATGCAACAATACTTTCTATGAAGATAAACAGAACACCTTGACATGTTTCACACAATCTAGTACAAAATCAACAGACAACAAACAGATTTTTTTTCGAAATATCTTGTTAAGTTCTTCATATTATGGTGGTTAGATAAGTATTTACAATGATGATAAAAAAATATCCCTGCAATTAATGAACTTCCATGACAATGATGCGCAATGCGCAAAATTAGCGCAAAGTTTTAGTATTTCATTCGTTCTGCACAACATCAATGACTAACTAAAAATAATTAAGTTTATTAGCTATTTTTTTTAATTAGACACCTAATATATATTTACAAATAGTAATGCTGGAGACCACACAAACCATAAGCGCAACTATTGCTTATTGGAGTCCAAACTATTGCTCCATGCGCAAGAAAATATACTTTCGGCATTACAAATATTCACAAGAATTATTTTTATTGAACACCAAAAACCTTTTTAAATATTTCTTCTTTAATTATTTAACCAAGAAAACGGATTTCATGCAAGTATATCATAAATTTAGATAGAGAAAAATAAAGAACATGCTGATTAACATAATTGTAGCAAATAATAATAAAAAATGTACCACTAGCATTATACACATAGCAATAATAATAATAATAGCCACAAATATATATTATTAATAAGTTTTACGGGTTTAATAGTAGTAACGCCTCCTCCACAATCTGGAACTGATTGGAAAAATTTGGAATAAGATTTTTGATCGCCATTTTGAATTAGACTTCAAACTTTATTTAAAAATAGTTTTCCTGTCGCACTCATTCATTGAATGGTTTTATAATTACAGCGTAATTAAAAAAAAACATGAAATGTATCTGAATACGTAAAATAAGATTCTGAGTCTTAGTAATCGACTCTTTATGGGCTATTTTGCTTGCAATCAACATTTTTTTAAAGGAAATTCTTGATCTTTGTAACACTTTTAATACTATTTCATTGTCGAATCCCATTTCTGCAATCCTTTAGGAATGAGTTACTTTGAAAATTATTAACTAATATTAATAGTTAGCTTACAAGAGAACTAAAAGAATCAAGTAACCAAGAATTAGAAGTTATGTAGACCTTGTCTATTGTCTTATAGACAGGTCAAGATTATTGTATTTACTAATTACTGATTATAGTGATTATGTACCGAGGTTAGTGTACAGACACCAGCACGTCAAACTATCCCAAACTGTCGACATTCTTCAATAAACTCAACCTTATTATATGCTGACAGAGTTGAATATCTATTTTTATCGGTTATCTGGCAAACGATATTTGTTCTATACTTATCACGTTATACTTTTATGACGGTGAAAAAATTACGATAGCCAATAATATGTAAATTCAACTTTGACCACAAAAGGACTTGTACTACTCGATACTGCTCATGCATACGAGTCCAGAGGGAAATGAGATTGCGTTCGGCGCTCTGATTGGCCGGCTTCAGTGAACTAATCAATCAGAGCGCGCAACGCCGACCAGTTTCGATTACTTTAAACGAAAAACAAGCTCGTGAATTGAAATTATAGTCAGAATTTTAATTAGATTCCAGACTTGACAATAGCTACTGTCATTTTGTGAAATAATGATACCACATATAAATAAATAAATAAATTTTTATTCATAATTCAAAAAATGCGAAATACAAAAACAGAGCGTAAATACGTACAATTGTCCTCACAATGTTATTTGCCTGCACTAGGACATTCCTGTATCGCAGGCATATAAAAGTGTAGTGATGCACACAAAAATCGATAAACAGTCAGTGTGTGTGTTTTATAATAAATGTTACAGAAAGTGACAGGATAGCGATAGAGATGACGGCGACAATTTATAAAATAACTTATTACCATAATACATCTATCTGTTTTATCTGTCCTGTTCCTTCATGATTACATTTTTTTTTATTTTACACACAATTATAAAAGCAAAGTCTCAGATCGTTAATTAATCGTCAAAACTAAATTATCGGTTCAGAAATATTTAATTTCCTGATATACTTAGTTTACTAGAGTAAAATTATAAACAAGAAGAATCGATCCAGATATATTGCATTTCCATATCGAATAATTTCGCAACGTCACTATTTACTACTTGTCATAACGTTGCAACACTGAAATTGTCAAATCTGGAATCGAATTAAAATTCCGAGTATAGTTGAGCGTCTCTCGAATAGTTCACGCGGAACAGAAACTTAGTAACAATTACATATTTTTCAGTAACTTTACGTCAAATATTAGGAATTTAGGCAGTCTGGTATAGTTTGACTCGCTGTTATCCGTACTCCAGACTTGAGCCATATATGAGTGGTACAAGAAAAGGTTGACTGTGTTTACCTGGAGGTCAAGGTGAGAGGGCTGGCAGCGGTCCGTATGGGACGGCGGGAGGCAGGCCTCACTGAGCTGGGGCGGCGCCCTGACACCTCACTACTTGTACTGCAACGTATACCATGCTAGCTAACTACTGAGCAAGACGGTTCTACTGACATTCGAAATATTTACATCTTTTTTTTTAATATGGTCGTCACACGAGCTTAGCACTTGATTGTAAGCAGTCGGCGTCGCCCATGGACATGGAAAATAAGGTTTTAATCTCAAAGTGTGTTGAGATTTAACCTTTTTGGTTGTTTAAGAGTTTTATTTTCATGTTTTGCCACATCTTTGTATCAATGGTTGCACAGAAACCCAAAGAGGAGGTAAAGGTATATCATTAAGTTTGTAGTTTCTTTTTGGACTACAAAAGTATTGTTTTATTCTTTTTTATTTCAAAAACTAACCAGATTAAAACATAGAAAGTAAATTAATCAACAATTTTGTATTTGTGCATTAGTTCATACAAAATTTGACATTATTAGCACTATTACACTGCAAATACGATTGTATTTCCTTTAATTACAGTGTCAAAATGTAGTTCTCATAAAAAGTACTAAAGTAACTGATTTCTTTAAACCAAGTCTAGAGCATTTTATGAGCACATATCATGGCAAAACGTGTCTTGTCGTCAGTACAACCGCCTATAGTACAAATAATAATAATAATAATAAATGAAAAATATATATAAAATACAGAAAAAGAAGCCACATTAACCAAAGAAAGGCACACATACATGCTAGCAACTACTCGAGTATAGAAAATACATAAAACTATTCAACATAATGTGCTAAGAGAAAACCGCTCTTATTGACATACTTAACTACACTAAACATTTAACAAGTACTACAAACAAATGAGTGTAATCACAGAGTCTACTTTTAATTGTAGGGTTTGTATCTAGAATTGAACATCCCTTGGTAAGTTGGAAACTTTTTCAAAATCCTGCTTTTACTGATTTACGATAGGAATCATGTTTTATACCTATTAGGCTATCTATCCGATTGTATATAGATAATCAATGGAGTTTATATTATTTACGCCATTTTTTTGAAATACGAAAGCAGATATAACATTAATCGATGTACTAAACCTTTTAAAACATTTTATTAAGTGATTTTTCAAACATTTTAAAAACAGTCGACTCTATATTAGGCAAAAGCAAGAACAATGTTGCTGACACATACATGAACATTTTGCTATATCCTGGCTAGCCTTGATTACTAAACTAATATAAAATGTCTTTCAAACCATCACATGCAAAGTTGAGGTGGTAAAGACTAACCCCATGAGTACCCAACCTACCAATACTGACTCCTACACAAAACACAATAAGTCCTCATAGTTCTACAATCTTATACTAATACAAATAGGGTATATTTTATTTATGCAACTCACTTGGGTACTTGTACAACAGGCGGCGGAGCTGGCAACGCGAGGCGTTGTGGCTCGCGGCGCGCGCCCTGTATAGCGGGGCGACCGCGGCCCGTAGAACTACCGGCTTTGTATTGGAACTCCCTGAAACGATATAATAAAAAAATTAGAACATCTATACTGAACATCATACCTCACATACACCTTTGTCATTAAAACCCAAAGTAAACTAAACCTTACACTAAAGCGATAGAGTATAAAATCACCTGTCAAACTCCTCAGCCTCTTCCTCATCCAGATTGATGAACTCCTGCCGTTCTTCGGCGTCGCCTGTGTAATAGTTTTGCTCCCTCTCTATCAGGTGAGCCCTTTCGCCAATGTGGTGACCTGAAAATTTTGAATGAAAGCATTTAATATGGTGAGACACAACATACATTAATTAAATGTGTGTTGTTTTAAATCTAGAACCATTTCTCCACAACGAATTGCATTATCTAGAATTTCAGCTTTATTCTTATTCGTAGGGAATGGAACACACGTAACAAATTACCCAGAAGCACCACAAAAACTATACCAACCACCCACTTAGGGGGAAAACCATTCACAAAAACATTACACCAAGGAAAACTACAAGAAAAAAACCATAAAAAATACCGACAATTTTCGGCAAATTAACCGACCGAATCAAGAACCCTTTTCAGTGTTAGGTTTTATTGTTTATATTGTTAAATAATTGTATATGTTTTACCTGTTAAAATTTAAGGGGCTTTTCCCCCTTTATATACAACGTGCAAGTTTTCATAACAAAGAAGTCGCGTGATCAGGGTTGCTAGCCACGTGACATCGGGTCGAGATGACTTATTAATTGGTCAGCGTGACAACGTTAATAAACAGTCGATAGCGTGATCGTGACAAAATTATTGGTGTGTTGTGGTCGTGGCAGAGGTTTGTGCATCAGGTATAAACATAAATAAGCTGAGGTGGATATGGTAATTGTTACTGACCATCATTAATTTATTAAGTGTTGGTCCCAACATTATATCTACTATTATATAAAGCGAAAGTTTGTTTTTTGTTTGTTTGAACGCGCTAATCTCCATAACTAAAAGTCTGATTTGAATAATTCTTTTTGTGTTGGATAGCGCATTTATCGAGGATGGCTATAGGCTATAAAACATCACGCTACGACCAAAAGCAGCTGAGCAGAGCGTGAAACCGCGTGGAAGTAGCTAGTTGCATTATAAGGTCAACAATTGTCACAGCGGACACTGCACTGTTTATCTGTCATACTTTGGTGTGTGGACGTGTGCACTGTCCGTCTAATTTAAATGTAAAATAATAAATGCTAGTGAAATCAATTGAAGTCGTTTTAATCATTAATCCACCAACATAACAGAAATGTTGTGTACTAACTGCTGACGATATATCTTGTAGGTATTGGAAAATAAGTTTAATTAATTAACTAGGTACTGCTGCGAGGTTTCACTCACTGCTCAGCTCCTATTGATCATAGCGATCACGCTAGGAAAGGCTATTGTTCAAATCCAACCAGTAGTTCCGCAGACAAGCGCGTTCAAACAATCAAATTATTCAGTTTTATTGAAAAAATGTATATATATATATATAAAGTAAGTATATAAGGTAAAAAACAAACGTTACGTTGCAAGAAGTGAAGAAAATTTGCCGCCTTGAGAAGACGTTCACTATTTCACTAACATTCACATTTTTGTTCACACACACACATAATATTTCACATTTTTGTTCGCTGATCCATAGTATCTGCCTACATCACATCATTAGTTGCATAAATACCTATTTATATAACTTAAATACTGTACCGTCTATCTACAGGTTAACATACTCGAATCAGTCAAACTTTTCATTGTATTTTCCATTTTACATCAAAACCGTAAGGTTGAAAATCCAATGAGATACACTTTACTAAGAGTATAAAAACTGTGAAAAAAATGAGAAATGTTCTCTTGAAACTGAACAGAGTAAGTAATTTATTTACATAAGCTTCGGTCTGAGAGTTATTGTATGGAGTGTTGTGTTATTCACACAATATATGCTTGCGTTAGACGATAGCAATCTAGGATGTCTTCTGTAGATAATATATTAACATAACCCACACACAGTTGTTGCCAATTTTGTTCAAACCGTTATGAAAATGTCATTTAACATCTATTGGTATGACGTTCATTGGAAGTCACATTACCACAATACATTTTCTATGAATTGAATAATATTAAATACTTAATAGACCACAAAATATTAGCATTAAGTGCAATCTAATAGTGGGTAAACCAATTACAGAAAGTGGTACTAGCTAGAAATTAACATTGGGAAAACCCACTACCAATATTCTTCCAACACTCCTATATGATAAAAACACACAACTTCGAGTTATTTAGCAGGCAATTCCAGCTTTCTATACTGACAATTCCTTAAGCTTAAGCTAAGAAATAAAGATAAATAATTGTTCGTGAGTATGAGCCATGTGGTGAAGTTAGAATGGAATTATTATTATTACTTTTACTTTTTACTCTATTTATTACCCTCCTCTTCCCACGTGTATCGTAAGAGACAGCTCTTATAGCCCTTTCATCTCCCAAACCGCATATAAACTGCTTTTTTTACGGATTAGGAAGCAAACGAGCAGCAAATCATCTGATGGTAAGCAATCAGCGCCGCCCATGAACACCCGAAACACCAGAGGAGTAACAGGTGCGTTGCCAGTCTTTAGAAAAGGAATACGAATATTCTATCTCCAATCTGCCATAAAGGAGGTTTATAGTTCAATAGAAGACTATCACAGGTTGCTGATGTGATCATGAATATGAACTGCTATGCTCTTAAGGCAATATTCCCCTAAAACTATTCTCATCTCACTATCTATAAATTCATATTAGTTAGGCTCTCTAGACAGAGATTCCTCAGACACACATCCGTATAAAAACTCCACCCACACATACACAAATAAACAAGATACTGAATAAGAGTAGAAAAAACCAAGTAATTGCGTCACCCTCGTTTATTAATAGACAGAGGAAATGACTTCAGTTGCGGAGGTGCTACTGACTGGAAAAATACATGTGGAATACTGGCATGTCTAGCTGAAGAAACAATGTTGAAGAAAACTGTATTTTGTTTTTTATCACTTTCTAGGAATTAGATGCGACTTATAGCTGAGGAAATGAGGATATTTCATTTAAGATGTTTAACTTCCTTAACCTTCAAGGAAAAACATGTACATGTTGGTCAACCACCACAGATGGGGCCCAACAGGGCTGCCGAAACGGAGCCGCGGAAGACTTAAACGGGTTGCCGGGGCTCCGGCTCGAAGTGCAGGAGTAGGAACGGGGTGGTTTTTAGTCAGTAAGTGTCTGACACTCCCTCTCGCCTCACCTGGGCGGGAGAAGGCATTGGATGATTTTCTCCCCTCAATAAAAAAGGAGGTTAACGAATCTATTTCATAACAAATTCCTTCATAAAAAGTGGAAGGAAGGAAGGCCACACCTTTCTGGTGTGGTAAAGCAATGTGTATTTCATTTGGAAAAAGTAAAAAAGCTTATAGGTTCTGTGGTCATCAGTATTTCAACTATACTTTACAATGCATTTTTTGGGTTTTACTGCTTCGCAATAATCATAAAACATTAATACGAATTCAAGAATAATTTTATGAGTAGGCTTTCTTGAAATTCTTATTAAATGTGTCAGGCTACAGGTGAAAATATTTTGGCAAGAAGACTATGCTTTGAACGCCAGAACATTACACATTATAGTGTAAAGAATTATAAATAATGTGCAATGTTCAGACTATTGCAGAAAGTATTACAATTTCGGTTATTTACTGCTTCTTTAAAAGTGTAATCGCCAAGTAGGCCATTCCACTCTAAGTTCAAACCTATCTATTTTAGTTAAGACAGCATTAATGAGAACTTTAAGACTTTGACTGCCAATAAAAAACAGTTGAAGGTAAATCCTCCGCTAACGCCGGTCACCGGTGACCCCCATGGCGTTTAACGTGTAATCACACAGTTGCCCTGCAAGAACGGAGCCGCGGAGGACCTAACGGGTTGCCGGGGCTACGGCTCGAAGTGCAGGAATAGGAACGGGGTGGTTTTTAGTCAGTAAGAGTCTGACACTCTCTCTCGCCTCACTCAGGCGGGAGAAGTCATTGGATGATTTTCCCCGGTCAACAAAAACAAGCCCTGAGCGTAATCTATGACCGCTGGTTTTAGAATTTAACTGATTCAATAATAGAATAAAATACGATTTTTTATATAATTTCCATTTGAACCTGCCAGTCATTAAATTCATTCCAACCGAACAGACATACAGCAAAAACATGATTAATGTTAAAATATTTGTCACTACCGACTAATGAGCATCATTCATAGAGTAATTATCGGCACCGTATCTAAAGTTAGACTACGCCAGACAGAAATAATTTCAACTAGCTACCTGTGTTTATTTCTGGCGACATTTTATTTATTTTTAGACATTTTAAATGAGAGTATGGAATGAGAATAAGCCATCGTCGCCGCTCATGGATACCCACAACACCATAGGAGTGGCAAGTGAGTTGCCGGCATTTTGGATTCGGGCTGCGCTGCGGTAACAATCACATACCGAAACATGACGCAAGCGTTGTTTCACGCGGTTTTCGGTGAAGTACACTAATTGACGATTTTATACATAACTTCGCTTGGTGATAAGCGATGATGCTGCTCGATACGAGTTCGCCTGCCCATAAGCAACCCATTCACTTCGGATTATCTGCACTTTGGAACGAGCAAATAACTTGGACAGAGAAACCTGTTAGCCAATACATTGTATTCATAAGTCGCCTTTTGTAGTCTAATTGAAATAAATGCATTGATATTGCGTGTTCGTGTGACAAGACGCATGACTGTAAAGGAAGCAATATGTACGCAAGGGTCATAGCGGTAATTAGTTATTTACCAAACTATAATGTAGCTACATTGTGCACTGGCGTACCTACAGGGCGGCAATTCGGCAAAATGCCACGGGCCCCAAGCCGGGGCCACAGTTCAGAGTTTCATATGAACTATTCTTTTTTATATTAGGAAGAGGGGCTTATCCAAATATCCAGTGAATTTGCCTCGGGCCCCGAACGGTTTAGTCACGCTACTTATTGCGCAAATAATACTACATTTATTTCTTTCTTTTGAAATGTCGAAGAAAACAGGCCATATTGGACTATTTTCGACTTGGTGTATTAAATAAAGGTTTCAAGTTTCATTGACAAATATTGTAACCATTCAAAAATGAGTTGAATGGGTTAACTCAATCCGCAATGTGTAGTTTTTGATTTGAATAAAACACATCAAATTAGTCGCGTTACATAAAGGTGGCAAAATCAGGAGAAATGACTGAATTTATACTCATTATGGGATACTCCACTTATTACCTAAATTCGCTACATTTTAATACACAATACAAGCAATCAACTAAATACAGGCAAAATTTACATTATTAAAGATCATTTCATTTCCGACTTTAGACCACAAAAACCACATGAGCACACATATAAAAAATATTAAAATTAATTGTATATATTCATTGTTACTTGTCACAAATGTGTACAATGTATCCTATTCCATTGTGTTGAATATGAACAAAATTAATAGTTACCTTTTAAACAAGTAAGGTAAAAACAATAAAATTTATTTATAAATTAATTTATAAATTAATAAACTGTTTTCAAAAACTGAGGTAAGCTATCATAAATACTTTCGATGCTATAAACCAACAGCAGCGGCTTCTCAGGCCGCGCGTCACCAGTTAGTTACGCTTACGTTACACAAAAACCATGTCACCAGTCGAAAGGTTAACAAAACCATACCATTACTTCTGGATTTGGATACAAATCAGAATCACAAACGAAATATTATAATGGTTTAAATAAATTCTACTCTCATGTTACTAACTAAGGAATAGAAAATAGGCAACGAGCCTGGATTACATATTTCATCAGTCGTTGCAATCAATCATTCAAAATGATTGTTTTTAAGGCTCAAAGTTGTAAAGTCAAAGCATTCCTTTCAATTAATCCTTAAGTCTGTGTATCTGTCCGTATCTGTCTGTCTGTCAGTGAAGCTTTCTGTTGAGTCCACACATAAAAATTATTTTTTTCCTTTGGCAACCGAGTCTCCAATACGATATTGTCGACTATACTGCCAGTGTGGTGACCACATGAAATATTAAGATATTTATTTTGTAGAATGCATTAGTATGAAATGATTAATACTCACCAATGGCCATTTTCTTAGTGCCAGTGCGAGAATCCTGCACTGTCTTGCATGTCTCCTTGATGCCGTTTGGGCCGATCTTTGTGCTGCTGGTCGAACTGTATACCTGTAACATAGAATCAATTGAAGTACCAAAACGGAGCACCTCTTTGTGTGATACACAAATTGTTATTTTGGGTCTGGATGGCCTGTCGCATGTGAAATTGTATGTTTGGATATGCAATTTTCTTGTTGTGAGAACAACACAGGAAAAAATCCTAGTGTTTTTTTTAAAGGGGGGAAAATCATGACTGTTCCCGTCTGGGTGGGGAGGGAGTGTTAGACTCTTACTGACTAAAAACCACCCCGTTCCTTCTCCTGCACATCGAGCTGGAGCCCCGGTAACCCGTTAGGTTAGGGAAATGTTTAAAAAAATACCAAGTACCTACTACACAAACTGATTAGTACTATAAAAAAAAAGATAAAGATACTTGTTTGTAAACTGTTTACCATGGCTAATTTGAACTGTAATGAATTATTGTTACTTATTTGTAAATCCCTGAAAAATGTGTTGTGCCTTGTGAAAATTAATGAGTATTGGCTGTATGAAATTTAAAGTTAAAATATATTTAAATATACAACCAGTGTTCATATGGGTTCTTATATTAAATTCATTGTCATTCACAATAAATGAAAAATCAAACAAATATGGACTTAACAATAATAATTACTTGGAATAATTACAAACCTGTGGCTTTCCGCCAGGTCCGCTGGACATGACGACCGTGCTGCTGCTGAAGGAGCTGCCAGGAACATGGTGCATGTTGCCACTACCCATATCTAGGGCAAAGTAATAATGTTCAACTTTTGGTCGACAATAGTTTTACTTGTAACTTTAAATTGTATTATTAAACAAACTTCAGTAATTTTGCTGCTAGTCCCCTAGCTAAGTAACACCAGTTTCTTGAGTTGTGATGGGTTGTTGGGACTGTTATGTTGACAATATTATCTCTTTGGGCTAACTTTATCAAATAATTTTAGTAAATTTTTAGTGGTATAAGAGTTTTCGTATGACATACGCCTTTTGTCCCTAAAGAGGTAGGCAAAGGTGCAGTGTGGCACTTAATGCCACTGTACAATGTAACACCCCTTTTCACTGTGTATGTTATAAGTCCCGTGTAATAAGGGGTGAGCCTATTGCCATGTACAGGCACAATTTCAGACTCCGTGCTACTACTGAGATTTGTTTAAAACCCTGTAAGATTTTACTTGATTCGGGATTAGAAACCAAGACCTCTTGCCCCGCAGTCGCACATGAAACCACTTGGATAACCAGGCACTCAATTTTCAGATTACTGCTGTAGCCAATCCTCATTGGTCACACTTGTTCAATAGTGAAACTGTTGAATATTTTTATAATTACAGGTCATTTACTAGTAATGGTGTAACATAATAATGTTATATTAATATCTTCTTTAGTTTTACTTATGTTATAAATTGAAAAGTTTGTAACACATGTAAGTGTATGTAAAGATCTATGTTACTTGAACAGAAACAACCACTGAACGGAATGGAATAATTGGCATAAAGATAGATCTGTCTGGTAAAATACATGGGCAACTTCAATCCGCACGCAAGCACAGCCCTAGCAGAAGATAGTAAATAATAAACATGTATAATATTATGTCTATGTCTACTGTCAGAATTGATTCACAACATACATAGATACATAAATAGATAAAGTTAAACTACCTGCCAATACGAATAAAATATTACTATTAATGTAATTTTTCCATAATAGAACACTCACCAGTGAAAAGTCTGTTCAGTGCAGGCATCTGATGAGGCATGAAAGGCATCATGGCGTTAGTATGACGAGGACCCATGATGGAAAGAGGGCCCTCGCCTCCAAACATGCCGAAGGGATCCGCGAACAAGGAGTTCATCATATTGTTCATCTGGCGCATTTGACGCATGTGGGACCTAAACGCATAAAAGGTCAGAATTAACCAAAATATTTGAAATTTAAAATTGCAAAAGACAACCAATGTTTTTGTAGCATCCGATGTCCGCCATAGCTCGGTGATTGTTGATATTTCAAGGATATTTCTAAACATAACAAACATTCTTGTTTCGCAAATTTGTAGGTGAAATGCAATTACTAATTAACAGATTCTTACCCGAAAAACGGATCGTCCTCCACGTCGCCCATCAACGATCCGAAGAGAGACATCTTTGTTGATAATTCACCGAAATCAACAATCGCAGTCTGAATCTAATGCAAATTGTACCCTTCAACACCGCCACTAACGTAAAAATAACACTTGTTTAACGTTTAGCAGAAATCACGTCGAAATCTCTAGCAAACTCTCGACGAACCAACAAACACTTCGTCCGTGTAGACAGTTCAACTTTTTTTGAGGAAACAAGCAAAGCAAGGCAAATAGCACAATGACAAAATATCATAGACTATAAACATCAAATTGTCATTATTGATTTCTTGACCGGAATTTTTTTTTTTGCTGGCAATAATATGTTAATGTTACAACCCTCTTTTGGCGATGCACAGATTATTCGAGCGCCTCTCGCGGCGAAATTTAGAAGTTGTCTAAGACCGACAGTACCGACACTTTGTTTTCGAGTTGAAGTTAAGTTTAAACATAATCAAATGGATCACGATTACATACAGAAATCTGTTTTTAATAAAAGCAGAAACAGATTTTGTTATGTTAAATTCTCTTCTTAAAGAAAACACTGCAGTTCGTAGAACAAAATTACTTTTATTTAAACTTCAAAACTAATAACTTAAAATCTAACATTTTCCTGTATGGAAAGAAGAAAGATCAGCTATAAAGCAGTTAACCCTCCCAGATTTATTCAGCAGTGATATGTATTTATTTACTTTTGTGGGTACTCAATTAATTGAACTTTTAGAAACATTGGTGATTTGTATAAGTGAATTGGCCTATGCTCCAACAAACAAGAAGATGTTATCTGTGAGAGACAGAGTTATTTTGACAATGGTAAAAATTAAACAACAAACCACATAAATTTGATTTATATCTAATAAATAAATCTGTGACGCAAAATATATACCTACGAAAACTGTCAGTGTTGTTCTTCGACAGCTTCACAATTTTGACACTAGAGGCGCTAGTTAGAATCTTTGCATCGCCATTAGTACTACCCACTTATTTATTTATGCCATGTCCACAATTCTACAGATAAACCAACCTCAATTTTCAAGAAAATAATGTATGAAATAAAATTCATGAATGCATTACACCGTTACCTTTAATTCTGTTTTTTGACAATTAACATTTTACCTACTTTAGAATAGCTCAATTTCACCATTGATGCGCTAATACAACAATCACTTTAGCAAAACAAACAAATCACATTGAGGAATATATAGCCAATAAAAATAAATTATATTTTTCACCATTAACCTAGTTTCAGCAACAAAAGATTAAACTTTGCTTCGATAACGATATGCAGCTGGAATATATGGCGCAGGAGTTGCTCCATGGAAAGACCAAGCAGCTGAAGTAGCGTAAGCCGTAAAGGTCTGATCTTGTAGGCCGTTTCGAACTTTTGAACGATTTGCAGGCGTCTGAAAGTCATAAATTGTATGAGAATTTATTCATTGGAATAGTAAAAAAATCCAAATCACATAATTTATAAATCCAAAATGGTACCAAGGTGCAAAATAAAAAAATACCTTTTCGTTATCAGCAGGGGGTTTGTTGGAAACAGGCACATCTCCAACTTGTCCCGGCTTTAGCTCAGCCGCATAATTGTTAATATTGATATTATTATTTGCTGCGCTATCTCCTCCAACTCTTTCAATAGGGGCTTGACGATTATTATTAGCTTTGGAAATATTAAGGTGACCATCGGAATGAGAATTTCCATTATCAGGGGGTTTAATGTTCTGTTGCGTGTATGATTGGGAGCCTTTATATTGATTATAAATGTGTTGTAACTGACTCCTACTTGGTGTTCCGCCACCTGAACGATTTCCCATTAGCGAAGTTTTGCTCACAGTGGACTTCACGTTGCTATATCTACCTGGATTAGTTCTTGCAATCGACTGAGGTGACAAAGTTTGCGGTAGACTTGGTTCTTGAAAACGATAAACATCTGCCGGAAGCATTTCAACTGGTTGGCCCAAAGTATTGTAATGGTAAAATTTTTGGGGCTTTGAATTCATATTACCAGGTGGCATGTTTTTAGAAGTATCCGCAGGAAATATAGGCTCTTTAACCATTTGATTTGTAGTTTGAGGCATTGATCGAGTTGGCGGTGAACCTTCCAGGCTGACTTTAAGGTCCTCTGTATTTTCATATACTGTCGGAAGAGTACCAGAGACAGTCGCTCCTGTTTTAGGAGCCACCATTTGCTGTTGTTGTTGATGTTGCCCCTGATACTGTAGCAAGGGGACTTGTCCTTGGGGTACATTTTGCTGATTAGTTATTGGAACACCAGTAACAGCAGTATACACTTGCTGCTGTGGTACTTGCTGATTTTGAGCTGCTACTGCTCCAACGTTACCACCAGGTTGTTGAGTAGTAGAAGGATGTATATTTTGTTGATCAGTAACTTGATTTACTGGTGGTTGTGATAAATTAGTCATCGCCACATTTGTGGCGTTAATAACAGGTTGTAATAGTGAAGGATTTAATTTATTGGCACCATTACCCATCATCATTTTTTGCATAGTGTCCATAGCAGCCTTTTGCTGGTTCGCTGGATTCATCTGAATAGCAATTGCCATCGGATCAAATCCAAGATCTCCACCTTGCATTACACCTGGGAACATTTCATTAAACTTAGCTATACCCGCACTGTGCTGGCCATAAACATTAGGAGCATTCATTTGTGGTTGGCCTTTTTGTAATAAGCCAGGATTCATTTGATTGATATTCCCATTCATTGGGTTTCCTTGTATGTTTGCATTCGCACCAGCGTACATGTTCGGTTGAGACATATGTTGAGTATTTGGATTCTGCATTTGAGCTCCTGGACTTCCCTGCATCATGTTATTAAACTGCCCTGAACTACCAGGCATTCCCGAATTATACTGCCCTGGGTTACCATTTGTATTCGAGGTCAGATTCATTTCGGGTGATTGTGGAGGAACGTTGCTCATACCTCTTTGAACGTTACCCTGATTTGGGAAATTCCTTGGTTTTGAATCACTCATCATCATATTAACAATATTAGCTCCCATTCCACCATAGATTGACCCATTCCACTCATAGGTTGACCTACTTGTCCCATTTGCTGTTGCTGAGAATTTGCGTTACTCATGTGCATGGGATTATTTTCCATGTCGGGATTACCAAAACGGACATTCGGTCCGTGATGATGATTCGATATATTATTAGTAGTTCCCATTCCTGGAGACATATGATTAGGAGCTGTATTTCCCATACCACCTCCCATGGCGCCTGGTGCCATTGGGTTTGGATTACTAGCTGTCTTAAACCCATTTGAGCAGCCATTGGACTGTTCATCACTGTATTGCATGGTGTTATCGATTTAAGATCATCGTAAACTTCTTTAACAACCGGTTGCATCAAGTTATGATTTAAGTAATTATAAGTGTCGGCGTAGAGTTTCGGAGGATTGCAAAATCCCATGCAATTTCTGTTACCCGAAAATGGTTCCCCTGATCCTGGTGCATTATACCCGTGACATCCATGTCCCCAGCCATGTCCATGGTGACAGCCTCGCATGCAACCATCAGGTGCCGGGTTAACAGGTGCATTTTGATAATTGCCGTTGCTGTTTGGGTGACCAGGATTCGTAAATAACTTTCCCATACACCCGCTAAAAATAAAGATGGTAAAAATTAACGACAATAGTTTCTTTTTACATAGAATGAAACTGTTATATAAGTATTTCTTAATATTGTTATTCATAATATTCAACAATAACAAAAAAACCTACCAGTCAGCGCTTTGCAGTTGATTAACAACACTTCCTAGTTCGTTCAAAATTCTTTGCTTATCCAAAGCCATTTCAATCGCCAATCTACCACAAATTTATAATAAATTTACGTACTTAAAATTTTTATTATATAATTTATTGAAATAAATCAAAAACCCAACTTAAATTTTGGACATAACGAAACTAACAATGTCAAAAGTGTTTTGTTTTTCTAGTAATGGAAGTTTATGGATCGAATTTTAAAATGATCTGTTTGATGCCAGCTCTAAATCACAAATATAAGTTTATTCTTTGTTTGTAGACCTCATGTACTTTGTGAATATTCTATTGCAGTAATTACAGTATCAAGTATGCAACAATCCCTACATTTATCACTACATTAAGTGTGTAACTATTAATTAATTCATAGTGATAAAACTTATAATAATAGATGAGTTTACATCTATTATAGATGTAAACTGTAAAACAATAAGATTAAATATGTGAAATAATGACATCATTTTTATAATCTGTGGCTATTACTTTGGTAACTGACGCACAACGTCAAATCTCACAAAAGTCAACGTCATCGATGTGCCAACAACACGATGCGGGTAGGGAGATTGGGTTGGGACATGACTCGATTCACTATTAATCGAATTTTCGATAACTCGATTGTTATGAAAACATAAAAGTCCAATAACAATAAATTCAATTTAAGATCACATTTATCTATTTTTTATAGATCAAATCGATAAGAAATTAATAAACTTTGTAACAAAATGTGTTTAAGTAAAAAATAAATTTAATAATTATTTTTCACTGAAATTGCCACAAAAGATGAGTTCGAAAAAAATTGAATTACAATTTGATTCTCAAACATTACAATTTACAAACCAAGTAGACAAGGTTTATTTCATTTAGTATTTCGCAAACGACACAAAGTAAAATTCCATTATTTCCATTTGTACGAATACGAGTTACGTGTTACGAACGATTGAGAACTGGTTTCGGTACGGTAATCGGTAATCGACTTAATTAATCGTTTCCACCAATGGTTTCGTATTCTGGTATTCTATCGTATCATTTTCGTTCGTTGTTTGCGCTGGAAGTTGGACTTTGTAGTTTGTCGCCAGTAGATTGCCCCCTCAGTTGGTGCTGTGATTAACAACTACTAGGTTTATCTGTAGATACGTCATTCAGTTTAGTTAGATAGCTACATTCGTACGCGAATAACACAATTTAGCATTTCACTCACTGTGATCGCAGCAGTCGGAGTCAGCTGTCGTCTTTGTCAAGAGGTAATTATAAACTTTCCAAAATGCCTAGAAAAGTGTTCGTTGTTGGCGTCGGTATGACGAATTTCATCAAACCGAGCACTGGACCTGACTACCCCGAGCTGGGCAAGGAGGCCGTGCTGGCCGCGCTAGCCGACGCCCGCATCAAGTACACCGACATCCAACAAGCGGTGTGCGGCTACGTGTTCGGTGACTCCACCTGCGGCCAGCGCGTGCTCTATCAGGTCGGCATGACTGGTATCCCCATATTTAACGTAAACAACAACTGCTCGACTGGCTCCAACGCACTCTACCTCGCCAAAAAGCTTATTGAAGGTGGTGTCTCAGATGTCATGCTAGCTGTAGGCTTCGAGAAAATGGCGCCTGGCGCCTTAGCCGCCGGTGTATTCAATGACAGAACCAACCCCTTGGATAAGCACACACTTAAAATGGCTGAGCTAGCTGAATTAACAGGTGCTCCAATGACTGCTCAATACTTTGGTAATGCAGCTGCTGAACACATGAAGAAGTATGGTACCACTGAACTTCACTTAGCTAAAATTGCTGCAAAGAACCACCGTCACGGAGCTAAAAATCCTCGTGCTCAGGGTAAGAGAGAATACACTGTAGAGGAAGTATTAAACTCTAGAAGGATCTACGGTCCCCTAACCAAGCTAGAGTGCTGTCCCACGAGTGATGGAGCAGGTGCTGCTGTCCTCATGTCAGAGGAGGCAGTCATCCGCTACGGTCTACAGGCCAAGGCAGTTGAGATTATTGGTATGGAAATGGCGACAGATACTCCTGCTGTGTTTGAGGAGAACAGTTTGATGAAGGTTGCAGGATATGACATGACTGCTTTGGCAGCCAAGCGTTTGTACCAAAACACTGGTGTGTCACCAAAACAGGTTGATGTTGTAGAACTGCATGATTGTTTTGCTGCCAATGAGATGATAACATATGAAGGACTCCAGCTGTGTGGGGAGGGTGAGGCCGGCAAGTTTATTGATGCTGGTGACAACACATATGGGGGCAGAGTAGTAGTGAACCCGAGTGGAGGTTTGATTGCTAAGGGCCATCCTCTGGGAGCTACTGGCTTGGCTCAGTGTGCCGAACTTGTTTGGCAACTTCGTGGCGAGGCTGGAAATAGACAGGTTGGTTAATCTATTAGGTTCTTATTGCTTGGGGGTAATTGTTTCATCTCATCAGGTGAAATGAGACTACATGACAACACAAGTTTTCCAAATTCTTCCAAATTCCTACAGGTATATTTCTAATGACTTTACTAAGTGTTTTTTAATGATTTTAATTTAACTGTAATTTATGATGGTTGTTCACTATTCCAAAGTTAGACTTCTTGAATATTTATCAGATTGGACTTTTGGACTGTTATTGTGAATGTTATCTGCTTTATTGAATACTTAGTAAAGTTTTTATGTCATAGAAAGTAATTTACCATGAGGTGGTGATAATGCTATCAGTAATTTTTCTAGTAAACATCTAAAGTAATATTGAGATTTCATAATTCAGAATTTCTTACAAGAATAATATTTTTTATCTGTCATTTTTTGAGTATAATCTGTGGACTTTCTAAATAAGTATTATGCAACAGAGACAAGATGAAAGAAAGTTGTTTTGACACAAATTCTCTTTCTTACACATAATTATGGATATACTTTCATACACATACATACATTGATTCATAATATTGTGTTGTTTTTAGTACTATGAAATATGAATGTGTGTGGTATTGGTTAAAGTATTTGTGTCTGTCTTAGCTTAGAACATCGGTATAATGTTATTTGTCTGTAGCTACCTATACAAAGACTGATTGAAAATAATAAAAAAAAATTTATACTGTACTGGTGCAGGTTCAGTATTTATTTAGAAGCATATTTTTAAATGCTGTAATAATCACATACCTAGTTCTACACCTATATCCATACTTTTAGAGTCAATTATTAGGCCTGAACGCACTTTATCTACATTTATTCTAATTTATGGTAATATTTTAATTCTTATATTTGGAAATCTAACTTTGTTAGCTTTTCCTAATTTTATAGTACAATAATATCATCATCTTTGATATTACATTAACATTCATTCAATTTCATTCATTCTCTCAATAATATTTGTTTCATAATAATATGTTTATCATATTTTCAAATGGTCATTGCTCTCCCACTCCGCCCCACTCAGTTCATAATATATCTGTTTGTACAATAACAGTATGTACACATATTTATTATATATATACTTTATAGGTATATGTAGGTATTTGTTTCCAATATTTTATCTTATACAGATAGTGTGTACATGACTTCATGCACAATAAAACCATATACCATTTTACTTCGGACAATTTATTGTCAGTCATCTTTATACTAGCTTCTATACCGTACTGAAATAGCAATAAAAATTAATGTGTAGTCTAGGTATTTAGGGAAGTCCTCTCTTAGTGTCCCCTTTTTTACCGCACGAGTTTCTCCTGTTTCATTGGTGCATTTACGAACAGCACACCCAGATCTGGAACAATAATTTGTGAATACCAGAAACGTTTGTTCTGTGTGGGCATCGAAACCGCGATACGTTGCGTCAAAGCCCACCCACTACGCCAACCAGCCCTAATTACATTCTCTTAGGAAAGTATACTATGTTTCAGCTTCCTAGATTAATAATTTGGGCTGTGCATTGTCTGTTAGTCACTCAGTGCGCAACAATAGTTTCACACTTATTCACCGAAATTTGAAAAAATATGTTATATCTGTCGAAATTATGTAACATTAGTACATCTTTGCTATTGACACATTCCACCTTCAAAAACATATTGTATCTAATCTATTAGCTAAGCCTCGATTGATCCCCGGACTTATCATATTATCATAAATTATTTTTTGATAAAACATAATACATGTTTATTATGTTTAATATCTTTTGTAAAATATTATCTTTGAATAGTAACTAAGTGTGGTATGTACCTAAGGCACTGGAGGTATATGATGATATAGCAACTCGGGTGTCCTTTGATCCAATTTTATAAGTATAATATTATTATCAGTGGGCCACTGATTATTATCTACTTTCGGATGCTCATAGGGCTGCAGATGCATAGCGTAATAGTTAGTGATCACTAACTATCAAGAGATACATCTGTTCGTATGCCCAATTTAATAATAATAGTTTATTCTAATTTGCGTACCGTTCACGTTGTCGATTAATAAGAATTAAAATGATTTGCCTACTGACCCTATTTTCACACAGAACATTGAAAAATTCTGCCTTAAAATACGTGTAAATGAAAGAGACCAAGACAGCCATCCCTCTCTAGATTGCAAGTGCTTATCACTGTAAATTGTTTGCCGACTGATAATATTTACGATTTCATATCGTTATTCACATATTTTTACAAAAACACTGCAATTTCTTAACATTATTGTTATTACGTATCTGCAATGTTAATAGGATAGTCTATAATAGAATCATCATCATATATCAACAATAAGATGTCCGCGGAGGACCTAACGAGTTATCGGGGCTCCGGCTCCGAGCAGGAGTAGGAATGGGGTGGTTTTTAGTTAGTAGGAGTCTTACACTCGCTCTAGCCTCACCCAAGGCGGGAGAAATGATTTTCCCTCTTAAAAACCACAAGATCCACTGCTGAACATACTTACATCGCCCCCAATCCCCAATGATTTCTGACTTCCAGTAGTAGAACATCAGATTTATATCGGAGTCTTTTCCAAAGAAAACTTAGCATAGTTATGCGTATGGATAACTCTGTGTCTATAGTATTCTTATAGTTGTTTCACTACCTCTGT